GTCCTGGTTCTGGTTCTAAGCTTGTTTATCCAGCAGAGAAGTGCCTAGTTCAGGAGTCTCTAACTTTTTTCGATTAGAGAGCTACTTTTATATAACAACTGGCAGCGAGCTAGTCCTTTAGCAGTAGTAATACAATTGTAGTCTGTATAAAAACTAAAATATCATAGAGTACACACATGGGTAATATATTAATGAATAATGCATTATTCTTTCACTCCATACACGGTGGTGATAAACTGTAGCCACAGCTGCCCCGGGGCACACTGACAGAAGCCAGGCTGACAGTATGTGCCATCGGGCCACAGGTTGGAGATCCCTGGTCTAGTTACCATAGAAACACACTGAAACAAACAAACTAAAATGTGTAAATTAATGCCTGACTGAAAAGTAAAAGTAAAAAACCTGTGTAGAACAGTTTTGGCAAAGCCTGGTGGAAAATAAACCATTTTGGGGAAATTACTCAGAATTCCATTAGTTTGAAGTTCTAGTAGTTTCAGAAATCTGGGAGTCTTATAATAAGCTCAGGTCTTTGAAAAGTACTGCTTCAAGAGCGTCTCTTGGTTTTGCTAAATGTCCGTTGCCTCGAGCTTCCTCAAAAGGAAAACTTAAACATGCAGTTCATCATCAGTATTCAGGGAGTGTTTTAATGAACGGCTCTATCATTCTAGTGGATTTAAAGACTTGTTATGCCACTATCATAGTTTAAATAGCCTCAATACACAGGACCACATTTCAATCCCTGCTGTTTGCGAACCCATAGTGTTAGCCTTAATGCATAACATAAGCTGGAGCCAGTGTCCTTATATGGGCATTTGTTCCACAGTGAAGGAAAACTATATAACTATGACTGTATGGTTAGGTTATAAGCTCCAATACAACAGCTGCTGTTTACAACAATTAATTTAATTTAAATGACTTGTTCTATACATCACAGGGTTTAAGGGTAGATAGAAAAAAGAAGCAGCTTATAGTCCAATTAGTTCCCAAAGTCCAGAGAACGATGCCTCTCCCTCTTACCAATCTAAAAGATACCTTGTGGCCCCAAGTATTACATTTGATATGTAACGGTTTTCTGTGAATGTCGACTAAAACACATGATAAACACATGATAAACACATGATAAACACATGATAAACACATGATAAACACACAGGATTTGTTTCCCCACTGCGCATCACAATCAAATATTTGCATATTTGCTTTAAATCCGTATTGCTGGTTTTGGGGCCAACCTTAAGGGCTCCTCTGCATTGCCACTGAGGCTTCCCAGGGGGCCCAGACCCCACTTTGGGAAGCACTGAAATAGAAAATCTGAAAAGAATGCATTTTACCCACAGGCATCAATCAGCTCTATCTGCTCCGTGCAGCCCCATTAAGACAAACAAAGGTTGTGTGCTGTTGTCATGTGTTCAAAGGCACCAGGCCGAGAATTAACTCCAGTCTCTTTGTTGTTCCAGAGATTTAGTGGTGCCCAGTCCATCCCCGGTCCATTTCCAGTCCATCCCTGGTCCATCCCCAGTCTATCCCCAGTCCATGACCTGTTTAGGTCTGCACTGGCTTCCTGTGGCTCAGAGAATAGAGCAGCTCTATTTGTTACAAGTCTCTCCATGGCCTCGCACCAAAATACATCTGTGACATGTTAGTGCCATATATGAATCAACTGGGACTCTGAGGAGCACAGGGACTGGCCTCCTGCTGGGACTCTGAGGAGCACAGGGACTGGCCTCCTGCTTGGACTCTGAGGAGCACAGGGACTGGCCTCCTGCTGGGACTCTGAGGAGCACAGGGACTGGCCTCCTGCTGGGACTCTGAGGAGCACAGGGACTGGCCTCCTGCTGGGACTCTGAGGAGCACAGGGACTGGCCCCCTGCTGGGACTCTGAGGAGCACAGGGACTGGCCTCCTGCTGGGACTCTGAGGAGCACAGGGACTGGCCTCCTGCTGGGACTCTGAGGAGCACAGGGACTGGCCTCCTGCTGGGACTCTGAGGAGCACAGGGACTCGCCTCCTGCTGGGACTCTGAGGAGCACAGGGACTCGCCCCCTGCTGGTGCCCAGAGTCAGGAAAAAAAAATTCTTTCGGAGGTTTTCTGACAGGCCTCTATTCTGACCATAATAATAAGTTGATGAAAAAAATCTGTTTGCTGTGCACATAACTGTTTTTCGCCCAATTCCTTTATACGGCACTGTTTTCATATGAAATCGAAGTATATTGATCTGTATTGCCTTTTTGATTTGAGTTTTTAATAGCTCTTTTGAAGCACTTTCAATGGCCTTTTCACAAATTGTGCAATACAAATAAATGTTGATTAATTGGTTGATTGCTGTTGGCGTATGGTGTCTGTGCATCTCTATAAAAGACTAATGCATTTACACAGATCTGAGCTCACATCTGAAGGAGCCTCTTCAAACAGCAGCTGCAAAACTCATCATCGACACAAAGAAACAGTAATGTTGTTACCACGAGTTAACCAAGACAGGAAGCCATTATCTGTCACCAGAACAATTATCAGCTCCTAATCTACTACAGTAGACCAGATTTAATCGATGTGGTTGGAAAAGCAATGTTGAAAGCACAATAAGTTTCATATTGTCTTGTGTTAGAATGTTTTGGCGCCTGGGAGACGCTTCAGTCCTAGAGCACACAGCCTCAGTCCTGCAGGATCTACAGCTTCAGTCCTGCAGGATCTACAGCCTCAGTCCTGGATCTACAGCCTTAGTCCTGGATCTACAGCCTCAGACCCTGGATCTACAGCCTCAGTCCTGGATCTACAGCTTCAGTCCTGGATCTACAGCCTCAGTCCTGGATCTACAGCTTCAGTCCTGGATCTACAGCTTTAGTCCTGGATCTACAGCTTCAGTACTGGATCTACAGCTTCAGTCCTGAATCTACAGCCTCAGTCCTGCAGGATCTTCAGCCTCAGTCCTGGATCTACAGCCTCAGTCCTGGATCTTCATCCTCAGTCCTGGATCTACAGCCTCAGTCCTGGATCTTCATCCTCAGTCCTGGATCTTCAGCCTCAGTCCTGGATCTACAGCCTCAGTCCTGGATCTACAGCTTCAGTACTGGATCTACAGCCTCAGTCCTGGATCTACAGCAGGGCGGCACGGTGGCTGAGTGGATAGCACTCTCGCCTCTCAGCAAGAAGGTCCTGGGTTCGAATCCCGGTCGGACCAGGGCCTTTCTGAGTGGAGTTTGCATGTTCTCCCCGTGTCTGCGTAGGTTTCCTCCGGGTACTCCGGTTTCCCCTACCACTAAAAATATGTCCAATAGTTCTGGCATGTGCCTCCTGTACTGGCCCCGCTCCCATCTCTGTGTGGAGTGAGAGACAAATGCCCATAATTAACAATTGTAAACCGCTTTGAGACTCAGATCTGCAGTGAAAAGGCGGTATATAAATAAAAACTTACTTACTTACTTACTTACAGCTTCAGTACTGGATCTACAGCTTCAGCCTGTACGACCGTGGAAGCAGATTTCTCTCACAAAATCGGCCTCCCGAACTTTCTCACATTTTTTCCCAATGTGTTTTTTAGTGTTTTTTTGGACAGTGATGATCCGGGACAATTATTACCATTTATGGACAGTGGTCATCCCGCTTAGACCAATGGCTCCTATGTGTTTGGTAATTCCTGTGCGTGAAATGTTTGATCAGTAGTCCTGCGAGATGGCTGCTGTTTGGGTTAGGTTGATTTGGGTCTTACAGTTTGACCATGTCTCATTTTAGTTTAAATCAGCATAAAATCCGACTTTGAAACACATATTTCTCATCTGGGGCAGGAGAACAAGCATCAAACAGATAACTCATGTCAAACCCAGAAAGGCTGTTAAGGTAGCTCCTATAAGGTAGTTGAAATTAGTATTTGAGCGTTAAACAAGAGGACATTCTGTTTTAGAGCCGTCACGAGATTCTGAAAAGCCACAAGAAGAAAAGGAAATTGTCATAAACCACACAATTATGAACTTTAGGTCTAGAGGCCTGTGTGATGCATTTCCTGTTCTGGAGAGCTAAAGCATTCAATAAATACACAACAATACAACGCAAAAAATCTGACTCAATTGACTGGCAGATAGTAAACAAATATTTCTAAAAGTCAAGTGTGTGTGTGTGTGTGTGTGTGTATAAATGGGGGGGAATCCATGGGAAGAGCCCGTATCCAGTGCTGTTACAACGCCGCCCTCTAGCGGAGCATCGCGCACATGACAACTGTTTGCAACCAGATCAAATACAATACATGGCCTCAGATGCCAGGACAGCTTAAACTAGACACTTCCAACATGTGTTACAAGCAGAAATACCATGTTTTTTATTCCAACACAAAGACTGACGCTGGATTTCAGCTTTTAAAGTTTGACCTTATGAGGTAGGCCGATAATAATGAATGTATTTGGCTGTATCCAGTAGGTCTATAGATAATTTATAGACAGTGTGTTATCAGTTTTTGTTTTATATTTTAATTTAAATGGCATTTAATTTAAGAGACAGGTTTCATATCTCACAAAATATATAAGTATACCCTTAACCCCAGCTTGACTCAATGGGAAAGCTTTATATCTATATACTCTATATAAACCCATTCTTTTCACTGCATTAAATACACAGGGATAAAATGCTATTGGCCTAAGTATAGCAGACCTAGTTTCATTACTTCATATATATCCCCAAATGCCTGGACTTTTCTCCCGTTTTCCATCCCCATCTGACATGTTTCTGGTTGTAAAATGTGTGCTACAGTATTGGCGAACCATGAACTATATCTCATAGCATAGCCTGTTCCAGTCGATAAGGCTGGGTACAGGATATTTGTTGAGGCGTTTGGTCATGACTCCCTCTGGCGTCAGAAATAGTTCTTTCTTTTAGCCAAAGAGCCCTTTAACGTGGAGTGGGCTAGAATAAAAAAGAGGCCGTATCCACCTGCCCCTGCTTGTCCCCACCTCCCCCCTCTCTCCTCTCCTCTCCGTCAGACAAAGTGTGCATTGGTCCAGCGAACCAAACTCAACATGGAGTCTGAGCGACGCCAGGCCGCCCCCACTGCACCCATCGCGGCTCGGAGGACGCAAACCAGCCCAACTAAACTGCTCCGTGCCTCCGCTGAGTTTCATGGCGAGTGCGAGCCGACTTTCTCTCCATAGAGTTTCACTGAGTTTACATCCGGGTTTTTTCCCTAGGCAATGGGAGTCGCAGCACCCCCGTTCCTTAGGCAAAGTGAAATAAATTCGCCGCACCAACACAAAAACTAGTCCGCTTCCCGAACACATTTTACCAGCCCATTTACCGTCTCATCGGCTCGATTTAAGCAACTTTACCGTCACCAAATGCAAATCCCAGTCGCTTTTCCGCGTATAAACGAGCACAAATCGGATCTAGAAGTACTTTTTGTTCCCCTTCCTCCAGCTCCGAGGCGTAGTGATCTCCGCTGTGGTTAGGCTGAGCTGAATGAGATTGAAGAAGAGTTCTTCTTGTTTTGTAGCTTCAGTTTCTCTGTTTTTACACAAAAATACCAAAAGTAACTCTAGAATACAGGGACGAAATTAGGGCTGAGTGGGAAGGAGTCCGTCGCAGCTGTTCGTGTGCTCTTATTCCATCGTGGATCGGCTTCTTTTAGATATTTATTTAATTAATCTAGAGGAGGACTGCTGCTGAGTAAGTGCACATTGGGCTTTTTAATTTCATAACTTTAATTTTCTCTCTTTTCAAACTTTACCTGGCGGCTGCTATGGGGTTGTATCTGTGCGTTTTGAGTGTTGGGGGCCAGGTGCTGCAGCTGGCACGCTGTTGTGTGGCTGGATTAGCTGTTTTCGGTCTGATTCCATCTATTTAGCTGGTGTGTTTCTTATTCTAGGAGTTGATATTCTGGAGGACAAGGGGCCGACAGAACTTCACCAATGGCAGCCAGCCTGGTGTCAGAAATGTTAAAATATGGCGTCTGTGAGGAATGTTTCACTTTGTGTGTCCTGTATCACATTTTCTTTCCTCTTTCCCGAAGCTTAGGTAGACGCTATTCTTTTTCCTTTGCCGTAAGTTACTAGCGTGGCTCGTAGCGTTAGCCAGCGTTGCTAACAGGACGGCTAACGTTAGCGGCTAGTTGTGGTGGACGCCAGAATGTATCGGCCGGAGGGACCCGCGCCTGTCATTGGCTCAAACGGGGAGTAGACTGCAGTCGGTGTCCGCCCGGCGCATACACAAAGTTCCCTATACTCCGTGTGCGTGGTGTTGCACATCTGTTATCGCCTGATTCGCTGTTTCTGCGACAAATACAGCGATTTGCATTCGGACTTTCTCAGCAGAGTGCTCCCCGGACGTCAACATTGTATGCGTCGGGTTGTTTACAAGTTGGTCCAGGAGTACAACAACACCATTACACGTTTTCAAGGCGTGTGCCATGTGTTTAAATTTGCCCCTTGTTGTGCTGACTGTGTTTGGAAGTAATTAAATACAGGAGAGACATGTTTAGAATACTAATTTGGAGTTGGGTTACTGTATATGCAGACAGGTCTCTGGTTATGGCTTGGTGTTGGGAATAGTTTTGCTTTTGCTTCAGCTCAAGGGCACAACATTAATCTTTATAGCATGATTTAACCTTTTCTAACAAGCAATGCATGATCACAAAGACACTGTTATAGTCCCATGAGGCAATACATCATTGTGAGTGAAATAGGTATTCAGATTATTTCAATCCCCTGTGTGATTTTAATGTTTTTTAATTACTTGTGTGATTTTATTATGAGTTTTTGATATCTCTTCTGATTTTTACGTCTGTTTTTAATCATATTTTTTAATGTATATGTATATTTTCCTGTTTTTGATTTATACTTGATGTGATATGGCGCTTTGTGTTGCCTTGTGAAGGAAAGGCAACACAAATAAAAGTTGATTGATTGATTACAGCGTTTCAGATACGTTGTAATATAGTAACGATGAAGCTGAATTAATTACCAAACAATTGCCACCTTCTGCTCTGTATAGGAATGACACTGTACATATTACCCAACCTGTGAAACCAGCTCTTGACATGGTGTAAAGTTAATTATGAGTTGTTTTTTAAAGTAGTAGAACCATCCGGGGCCACGATACACGTCAGAGTGCAGATGCTTGCATGTGCCCTGCTGTGATCACACAAGTTGACTGACAGCTCGGCATCCATTCAGAGAGGCCTAGTGCTAAGTCCCGCCTCTGGGGTCCATCGCGGCCAATCGGAGACGCCCGTCCCTTCCGCCGATGCACTCTGCTCTGTTCTAACGTTATCCACTTGTTCTCAGTCGGAGCAATGTCGGTTATGTGAGAGAATCGCTTCGACTTGTTTATTCCTCAGCATCACGTCTCTGCACAAAACACTACGGCTGTGCGTGAAAGTTAAAAACGTGGATGTGACAGTCTGAGTTGGTCGGATGTCTTGAAAAAACAGTGATTTCTCTTGAGCGAAGAGGCGGACGTAGTAGCCTCCCGTAATAAGCGAGTTATAAAACATTTATTTGCTCGGGGGCGAAAAAAAAACAGTTCATTTTGTTTTCTTGTCAAAGCCTCCATGTATATCAGCGTTTGTCATTGGCCTTGTGCTCCAGTGGCATGTGATGAAGTTTATTCCCGAGACAACTTCATGTCCCATTCACTCGGGAGTAATTACTAACAATTAGGCAAGGCAAGTTTATTTGTATGGCTCAGTTCATACGTAAGGCATCTCAAAGTGCAGAACAAGGGCAAGAACATCAACGCCACACAAGGCATTACAGCATTGCAATCATGAATAACCAGTGCAGTAAAAGGAGTAAAGATATAATTTACTGTGGTATGCACAGCTAAACAGAACTATTTTTAACCTGGATTTGAATATTGTCAGAGTAGAAGCCTGTCTCACATTTTCAGAAAGACTGTTACAGGTTTTAACTATATGAATCTGATTGGCTGCCTTCTCATGTTTAGTCCTGACTCCGGGCACCAGCAGGAGGCCAGTCCCTGTGCTCCTCAGAGTCCGACTTGGTTCATATGGCACTAACATGTCAAACGCATAGGCATCTGCTTCCTTCTACAACTGAAATTTCCCCACTTTAAGACAAATAAACAATCTCTTAATCTCTTCTCTATTTGCAACTGTTTTACTGTTGAAAAGCATCAGATGTTAGCATATTTCTACATTTGAGAAGCGGGCAGGAGGAAAGAATTAATCTAAACTTGGCTGCTACCAACAGGCCTAAAAATAGAGCTAGTTTTTCGTTTCATGTGGTTGGAGGTTTGTTTTCAAGGCCGTTATCGCAAAACCCTTTTGAAACATATGCGTTCACTATGCCGACCTGCTTTGTCACCTGTTGTAATTGTAATGCACTTATTCTTTCAAGGTCCTTTTTCCAATTTTAAACTTTTTAAACTTTGTGAAACTCACGCGTAGATAATAATGCATCAGCCTTTTATAGCACTTTTTCAGACACTCAAAGATGTTCCACATTATTCATTCGCTCCACACTCAGTCGTGATAAACAACTACTGTACTATTATGCCTTATTCTTTCTCTACTTTAGACTTGTTTGCATCAAGAGCCAAAGCAATTTCCTAATCTGTGATTCTGTAGCCACAACTGCCCTGGGGTGCACTGACAGATATGAGGCAACCACTGTGTACCATCTGGCCCCCACTAACCAATGCGGGTGAAGTGTCTTTCCTAAGGACACAACAACAGTTTAGAACGTTACAGTCGCCTCACTGTGGTACCTTGTATTCCCAGAGGTCTCCCATCACAGTACTAACCAGGCCCTGCCCTGCATAGTTTCATAGTTCTGACGAAATCTGGCTTTTCGCGCGCAGAACATAACGCACTCCCTTTAGGCTATTTGTGAACTAGAAACGTGTTAACTTCTCACATGATTAACTTTGTGAGCCACAGGTTTGAGACGTTCAAAGCTCTTTAGTTTGAATATACATGCATAGAAAATATGACATTTTTCTAAGTTCCCTTTTACAGTAACTGACAAAAAACATGTAGCCCCCGTCTCTCTGGACCCTGGACTCCCCTGAACAAGAGATTCCAAAATCTCAGTGGGTCTTTCCTGGTTATAAAGAGGTCAATAAACTGTCTGTGTCTGTTTGTGTAATGTATCACTAATTAAGAAAGCTGTGATGTATATGCTTTAATATCTCTTTCTAGGATGCTTTAGGTCTAGTTTTCAAATGTCAAAAATCTTTGTGGGTCCAGACAACCACGACAGCGGCCCACGAGAGACGTATAAAGCGTTTATTAGAAGCATATAAGGAGAGGACTGACGGTTATTTGAACATAAGCTAGCTGGAGCCACTTTGCTTATATTAGAAATGAAGGAAATTGCGTGAAACGCAGTTGACGAAATATGTGCATTTCTTTCGCTGCTTTAGCTTTGCGCTGCAACAAGGGAAGACACAAAGTTCCTGATTGGGCAATCCTTATTTGGCTCATATCTGGATTTACAGATAATGTCTAAATATAAACACCAGGATTTTTTAAGACCGAAGTGGTGAATGTGACTTTGCAATGAGGAGTTTACTTTTCAATGTAAGTCAATAGGAGCCAGAGTGAGTTGGAGCCAAACTTCACAATCAGAACTTTCCCATTGAGCGTCTTTAAGCTAGCTGGTTAGCATTGTCCATCTATATACAGTCTATGATTAGAAGGATGAATCAGTGAGCAGTTTTGTTTACTTACATTTCTGAACGCTGCTCTTAACGTACGCTGATCCTTAGACCTGTTTTAACATTTTTAATAGTTAAAACACCACAAATTGGTGCGACAAAGTAGTATTTTTAGCATCCTCCTTTTTAGCACTGGACTTTCTGCATGGGCTGGTGTTAGGAGGGCTATTCCAAAACACATTTAGGAGTATACAAGGTTTCTATAACAATTTATAATAATAATAATGACACCTAATATGCAAGAATAAGTTTATGATGATCTCAAGATTACAGCCAGAAGGTTAGATTCCAACTGCATACGGGCCCTCTCTGTGTGGAGTTTGCATGTTCTCCCCGTGTCTTTGTAGGTTGTCCCCCGGGTGCTCCGGTTTCCCCTAGGTCTGGCATGCGCTTCCTGTTGGTGATCTATTGTGCAGAGAGGGAGAGGGAGAGAGAGAGAGAGAGAGAGAGGGAGGAAATGCCCACAACAGTTCTAAAGTGCTTTGTGACGGTCTTACTCTCTTACTTACTCTTTTAAAATATTGTTATGATGGAGTTTTTGCTTTAGTTTAGCTGATCAGACTCTTACAGCGACTTTGCTTCACATTTATGATATTGATTCAAGTAGTCACTCTATCTCTTATCCTAGTTGCAGGGTGTCACCTTTCGTCCATTTTAAAATACATGTCTCAATAAAGGGTGAATACAGTAACAAAATAAACAGTACATTTCCGATAAAACGTCACTATCGCCTTTGTGCAGTTTCATTTATTTGAATATAACAATAACATGTCAGTTTTATTCAACACATTTTTGGACACTCAAAAGACGCTTCACATGATCACCACTGTATCTTGGAGTGAATGAATAATCTACTACTGTAGCCACAGCTGCCCTGAGACACTCTGACAGAAGCGAGGCAACCAGTATGTGCCATCTGCCCCTCCAACCATTCACTCACACACACATCAGACTTATTCTAATGTGGGTGAAGTGTCTTGCCTAAGGACATAACAACAGTTAGACACTTTACAGCCACAGCCGCCCCACTGTGCCACCTGGTGTCTCCAGAGGTCTCCCATCACAGTATTAACCAGGCCCTTCCTTGCTTATAGCTTCAGAGGTTTGAAAAGTGGCCTCTGCAATTTATTAAAACACAAAAGCCAGAATTACCTTAGAGGCTTTCTTTCGCCTGCATTTCAGATTCATGCAGCCAAAATCTGGAACAGTCTTTCTGAAAACGTGACAGGCGTCTTCTCTGACAAAGTTCAAATCCAGGTTAAAAACATTTCTGTTTAGCTGAGTATATAACTCAAGGATTGTTTATTCACTCTTTTTTTTATGTTCCGTGATTATTCATGATTTACTTTTCTTGTTTTGTTCAGCCTTGGGTATGAACTGTGCTATACAATTAAACTTGCCTTGCCTAAAGAGTAAATACATTCATTCTTGATTGCAACTGGCCTCGAATATAGAGTCCAGTCAATTTCCCCGTTCCTTATTCCACGCAGAATGTTTGATTCCTGTGTTTGTGTTGTTTAGGGCAGCAAAGAGGGGTGGAGCCCGGTCCCACAGCAGGCGGTGAGTTCTCATTCACTTCTACACAGATGTTTTAATGTCATTACTGTCATTCTGCGGTTATTAGAAGCTACTTTTGTCTCGTGCTAGAGGCATGGTTTGTGCTGTAGGCGCCCCCTGCAGGATGCTTAAAAGAGAGACAGACAAGAGGAAAGTTTACTCTGGTTTTCATTTTGCGTGTCCTTGTTTCCCGTTACCATGGGAACCGGTGAGAGCGGGGTCTTGATTTACCAACACTAAACTCCATCAGGCTAGATCTCACTTCCTGGTTTCTCTCTCTGATCTATCTTGTCTCTCTCAGGTTTCTCTCTCAGGCCTCTCGGGTCTCTCTCTCTGGTGTCTTTGTTTGGTCTCTCTTTGGTCTTTCTGATCTTTCTCTGGTCTCTCTATGGTCTCTCTTTCTGATCTATCTTGTCTCTCTGTTCTCGCTCCCTGGTCTCTCTCTCTGATCTTTCTTTCTGATTTTCTTGTCTCTCTCTGATCTCTCTGGTCTCTCTCTTTGGTTAAAGTTTAACGGCAGGCAGCGTAAATGTAATTGTCGATAAGGGTACAGTAAGGTTTAGGGTTAGACCAGCCTCCTGCGGGACCAAATACCAAGATTCAAGCAAGCCCGCAAAATAACTCCTAGCTTCCCCTTCAGTCTTTTCGGTTACATGTACCTTACAACATGAACCCCTGCGGCTTGCATTCAACCGCGTTCTATTTATGTACAAAGTTTGTTTTCCTTTCAAATGCCACTGGTACAGTGTAGTCACAGGTGCACCCAAACACCCCAGATATACACTAACTTTGTTGCGTTTCAACTTCTCATGTTGTTTTCTGCATTTCTCTCCCCAGCGGCACTTTAATGCTTCAGTTGGATGGTTTTCCTACTGGAGACGCTGTTAAGGTAAGACATGATCAGTTATTATCAAATCAAAATCCTACAAAACGTGCTAGACTTTCCTCTTCACCACCCGGCATATTCTCCCAACTCTGTAAAAATAGTTCAGAGCGAGCGTTGTCGGCAGAATTCGAAGCTTTTTCCCCAAAATAATCATATTGTTCTGCAGCCTTGTCAAAGTTAATTGCTTGTTTCTCGCCGTTTCGTGACTTTGCCTCGTATCCGCGAACGAGGAGTTGGTTCGAAAGCCTCCATCATGTCTTCACTTCAGTCGGTCTGTGGGGTCGTATCTCGGCTGCCATGGAAACACACAAGGGGGAAACGCTCCTGTTTTCTCCGATGAGGTCAAACGGAGATCGCTGTACTTAAGGCCACAGCTCTCGTTAGCCAAAAGCAAAAACATACTTGACAAAAACAGAAATCTCTCTATTTAAAGCTGGGGTGCCTAACTTTTTCCCAACAATTGTGATCAAAATAGACCTCTGTATCTTTCCTCATTGTGATAGAAAACAAGTTATCTTCTATAGACTTGTTTGAAAGAGCCCTGTGAGTCACTATTTGACACTTTGGGCTGATTGGTTGAGAAAGGGGGGTCTGCTCTGAAAAAGTATGACAGAGGCCAAAAGTAGAAGCAAACTGTTTTAGATCATTGAGAGACATGGATTTGATTACGTAGGTCCGTTTTTGCGGTTTAAAAGTTAGGTACCCCAGCTTTAAGTTGTTAGAAAAATAGATATATATATATATTTCTGTGTGATTTTGATTAACAATCATGTGATACTCCCTCAAAATTGTTTGAGGTTTTAAAGATGCAGTCAGTGATTTTTTTTTTGGAGAGGCGAGGGAGGGGTGAGTGGTTTCCAGTTGGCGCTACTGCTAAGCTAACAACATTGCTAACTGCATCTTTAAGGTCCACGAAATTATGACTTGACAGTTACCTACCTTTTAAAGTCAGAAGAAACTTTTTGTGACTTTTGCACCGCAGTAATGAGCTCAGAGGACATATGGATGTAAAGGCAATATAGGGTAAGGCCTAGAAATTGTCTTTGGTCTTAGAATGTGCGCAGTTAAGCCCTGTTTCCACCAGCCTTACTTGGCCCTACTCTACTCTACTCTTTCTATAATAAAAGATGACTTACTTACTACTAATGCTACTAGTACCATTTTGTTTTAAATTTTGCTTATTAGTGTGAATGGGACAAACATTTATTGTCAAAATAGACTGGATTTACTAGAGTCAATCACGAGTCAATATTTAAACACCTCTTCATTAGAATATGTTGTGTCCAGTTAAAACATTACAAAATCAAAAGATGCGGCTTATTTTCAAGTGCGGTCTATATGTCAACATATGTACGTTCTTGTCAAATGTAGCTGGTGTTGTTTATGTACAAGTGCGCTTCATAGTCCAGCTACTGTACAGGGGCATCGACAATGTTCTATGTGAGAATTATGTTTGATGCTAAATTGTTGTGTGTTTAAGTGTCGTACTAAAATGCGCATGGTCTGACCGGTGCAGTGGAAAAAGTCAAAAGTGAAGTGTGACAATAGTTGTGTTTGTGTTGTCCAGGCTGATCGATCGGCTGGCGGACTGACGAGATCCATGATGGAATTACAGACGCTACAGGAGGCCCTGAAGGTGGAGATACAGATCCATCAGGTGAGACTTTCAAATGACTTTTCACGACACAATACTGGGATTTAACTCTAGTGATACTGGAGAACAGAGACAGTAAGGCTGGGAAGAAAACATAGTTGGCTGTAATTCTGGTATTATTTTGTAGACTGTGCTAACGTGTGTGTGTGTGTTCGTGAATTGTGCATACTTTTCATACTGTATGCTTCTCATGTGCCTGTAACCACTGGTTAACATGATCATTACTAGTGTGTGCACCGCGGTGATAAGTTAAGAAGGACTCTCACTCTGGTCTCTCTCTTGGTCTCTCTTGCTGGTCTCTCTCTTGTCTATCTCTGGTCTCTCTCTCTCTGGTCTCTCTGTTGGTTCTCGTTGTAGTCTCCCTCTCTGGTCTCTCTCTTTGGTCTTTCTCTCTGGTTTCTCTCTCTGGTTTCTATCTGGTCTCTCTCTCAGCCCTCAGTCCTGCTCCTGCCCCTCAGTGCTGCGTCCTCTGCAGCTGTATTTGACAGTGTATGCGCGGCTTTTGACAGCTGCAGCAGCGCTCAGACCTACAACCAGGTTTGATAGCTTTTGTCTCTCTCACTTGTGCAGTTGTGAGTTCGGGTTATTTAGAAAACTGTATAAAGTATGTGTGAGGAGTTTTATACAGCTTTAAAACATTTCGCATATTCATTGATTTTCACTTATTGCGGGTAATTTTTTATAACGTAACCCCCACGATAAACCAGGGACCACTGAATCGAAAAATAAACCTGGTATGACTTGCATATTACACAAACTTTAAAATAGCATGCTTAGAGCTGTACACCGTGGTCTGAAGTGCGAGGCAGCCAGCGCTTGTTGCCTTGGCCACTCCGACTTAAGCTCACTGCTATTATTTCAATGAACGGACTCCAGTTGCGTCCACCACATAAAGCGGCAGTGATTTAACAGCTTGCACTAAATCTACCGTCAGCAGCAGCGACGCTAATGTGATCCCGTTTGACTCGCCGCAATCACCGGGATCGAACCACAGCTCAGCATCGATCATTCGCCAGATCAATCGACTCCAGGAGGAACTTAAGGCTCCTCCAAAAGCTGCGTTTTCGCCTGATTCCGGCCGTAGAGGATTTGTGAGGCAGTTGCTTTTTGACGTCAATAGGAGCATGGAGTACAAAGGTTACCGCAGCTCCTGCCACAAGAACAAAATGCAACTTTGAAATGGTGAACGGTCACATTTATAAAGCACTTTCTAACCTTTTCTATGCACTAAAATCACCACTCCACACGTATTCATACACCAGTGTACGCACAGTCCAGGGGCGAGGGGGGTTAAGTGCCCTTTCCAAATACACACAATAGAAATGACCAATGATGGCTGGTTTCACACCTGAGAACCTGTGGGTCAGTCAATCTCACTATCTTTGTCGGGAGTGGGATTCGAACCGGCATCCTTCAGGACACATCACGTACAACTCTGCCAATAGATAGAATATTGGGAAGAAAAAAAAAGCTTCTCCCTCATAATCTATCTATTGTTTCTGTATGTATAAAGTGGGTCAAGTATGTGATGTATTGTGGCGTAGAACACGTTATGGAAAATTGTTGTCCATATGAAATTATCGTACTTTACCATAAAGCTGGGGTATGTAACTTTTTTGTGTCTTAAATCATCCATACTGCGTGAAAAAAAAGAAATGATAAAGATATTGTGGACAAATCAGACCTCAACATCTTTTGTCTTTATTATAGAAAACATACTTGTAAGAAAGAACCCTGTGAGCCATTATTTGACTCTTTTGGCAATGAGCGGACTTTTTCACTTCTACACAAGATGATCTAAATATGCAACAAAGGCCAAAAAATGTATATGTGAAAACTAAAGACGGAACAGAAATTTTTTTGATGGATGATTATATTTTGTGAATGTTGGATACCCCAGCTTTTATGTGTTGAGGTTTTCTTTCATTACCTTCCTTCTAAAGCAGAGGGGAGTGGGGGTGTAATTCCATGTCCTGCCAGCAGATGTCATTGTTCATGCTTGTAACTTGCCTTTGTTTCTTTCTGTAGAAACTGGTGGCACAGATGAAGCAGGACCCACAGGTAAAAGCAGCACTTTGTTCTGTTGTTATATCACTTTCCTTTTTCACAAAAAACATTTAAATACGTTTTGGTGTATTCTTATGTTGGTTGATGCTTGTCAGAATTCAGCCCTGGCCTTTCCCCTCCAGAGCTTTTCACTCAGTTTGAATAGTTTGCCTTCAAAAATGTTATTGTATTAGTTTTTTCGACATTGTGCTTTAAAAAACCTTTCTGTAAATGCACCAGAATTAGCCAAATAGGCTGTTTTCCATCTGCAGTCCCTGGACAGGTGTACATACTCTCCCTAAGGGAAATAACATTAAAAAGTCATACAATACCAGTAATACAATGCTGTAAAACACAGAATATAGGGGAGAGCAAGATACAGTATATAATCATAAATACATTTATTATGGCCTTGATATAAATCCTTAAAAGTGAATGTGTCGACCCCTGGTGTGCGATACTCATTCTAACTATTGTATTGTATTGTGTCGTACTGTTAGCATTTCTATTTTCCTGCTCCACCACAATTTGAGTTGAGTTGGAGCGTGTGGTGCTGGTCTTGTGCTGCTCTTCACCGGACGACTGCTGAATACTGTGGCTCTCTGATCAGTGACCCCCCCAACCCTACCCCCCTAATTGGGGTTATACTAACTATTGGGTTAGAGCAGCTGTGACTCGACGCACCCGATACACTGTACTTTATTCTGAGCACAAATAATAAACAGTGAAATGCTATTTAATATAATACATAAGCTGGAACTCCATCTTAAACCTGCATTTTCTTTCCAGAATGCGGATCTGAAGAAGCAGCTGCATGAACTCCAGGCCAAGATCACAGCACTCAGCGAGAAGCAGGTCACTAAACACACTCTACATTAAAAACACTAAAATACTGAACAATGAAGTGTGTGTTCGCGTCGTCGAGGAGCTGTTCTTCTTCTTAACTTTCAGCCACTCCTTCTTTCTCCGTGTTTCTTTCATCTTCAGTTATTTTTAACATGTGTCCTATTTTTATCTCCACCCGGCACGTTTAAGCAGACTTGAATCTAGAGTGAAAAAAATACTGGTAAAAGGCTAGTTTATACTCCGGACGCATACGGATACACGTGGATGCAAATCTGTCATGTTGGACGCGACTCCATGGAGCTTGTGTAGTCATGGCAACGGTGCAGTATGTTAGCCTAGCATTGGAGGCACTGTGCGGTAAACTCTAGCCTCTGTGTTGCAGTGGTTAGTACTTGTGCGTCACAGCAAGCAGGTTCAATTCCACGTCCAGTCAGGGCCGCTCTGTGTGTGTGGAGTTTGCATGTTCTCCTCGTGTCCGCGTAAGTATCCTCCAGGTGTTCCGGGTTCCCCTACCACTAAAAACACGTACAATAGGTCTGAATGTATTGAGAGAGTGAAGGATGGGGATGGTCTGAGGCTTTGATGTGGAGTAGATCGAATTTACTACTACACCAATATTGTAAAGCCCTTTGTGGGATCTTGGTTCTGTGAATTGCGCTATATAAATAACATGACTTACAATCCTGTACCCCCACCTCATTCTCATGTATCTGCTCTGTTGACTTGCTTTGTTCCATCTTGTGTCACGCTGTCTCCCAGTTTTGAACACCATGTTTGGAGAGGACATAAGACTGTATATTAGGAGTGTACTGGCCGAGTGTGACATCACCATAGTGTTTGCCGAATGCAAAAGAGGCAAATTTGAGCCTAAGCTAGCTGGAGCCAATTTCCTTATATGGGCATTTGTTATGACGGCGTTAGCTTTGCGACGTAACAGGGGTAGAAGGTCACTGAGCTAGATGAGTTTACTTTTCCATAACCACTTCCTGTCATTGGGCTTCATGGAGCTAGCAGGTTAGCATTGAGCTAGCGGGTTAGCATTGTCCATCTATATACATATGTACCAGAGGTGTGGACTCGAGTCATGTGACTTGGACTCGAGTCAGACTCGAGTCATGATTTTGATGACTTTAGACTCGACTTGACCAAATGTAAAAAGACTTGCAACTCGACTTGGACTTTAACATCAATGACTCTGACTTTCACTTGGACTTGCGCCAATTGACTTGCAAAGACTTGCGTAACCCGGGCCATTTTTACCTTTCTCCGCATCTCTCTTTCTATCTATGCCGTCTCTGAAGAAACAAAGCCTCGCGGTAGTTGTAGCGCTCGCGCGAGAGTTCGAACGTGAGTTCCCCGCAGTTCGCGCAGTAACACTTCCCTAAACAAGCGGACTGCATTCATCGGTGGGTGTGTTGTCTAGGGGAGCTGGAAATGAGCGAGCTGCAGGTATTTATCGCGACCTAACGTCATATTTTGTTCTACAAACCGTAATTGATATGCTTTCACTACAGGCGCCTCATACAATTGAATCGACGCAGTTGTCACACTCTGTGCCGTGTTTTAAAGAGGAACTGGTGAGTCAAACTAGCGCTAGCCTGCGCTGCTCTGTTGGCTCTTTCTTATATTTTTCTGTGTGGGCGCCGAGGCCTATTATTATGAGTATGTTTTTGCTGTGCTCCTCCTGCTAAAGTTTGCATACATTAGATAGTTGTTTTGATTATGTGCACTAAGCTAGATTAATATTTGCACTATTGTTTATGGTGCATTGATATGAGAATCAGTGCTTTGACTGATTGAATTAATTTATGTGAGACATTTTATTATGTAATGATATATTGGTAATTATGAGATATTACTAATGCTGGCCCAGTTCATACAGGCCGGGGTCCTTCCCCTCCATTGGTCCCTTCAGTCCTTTGGAACAATAACCACTACGGACATTAAACTGATTATATAGATACAGGTCCTAGCCCAATACTCATATTCATATATGCTGCACTGCTGCACTTGCTACTTCCCATTAAAAACCCCAAAGATAAAAAGTATGTTGACATGGACTGCTCTGATTTTATGTGTGGTCTGTGCATGTGTAACTGAGCCTGCATCTGGCACAACATCCAATTAGATCACGTAGATAGTTTTGATTTACCAGCAGCCAACGACATGGAACAAACTGTTAGTCCATGGGTCAGAGACCAACGAGAATGCACCAGCAAAATGATTCCTAACATTATTTTGTTTGCCTACAAAAGTACGTGGAGACCAACAAGAAACAAATCGCGGTCAAAAAGACTCGAGAGGACTCGAAAGTCAAACCGTAGGACTTGGGACTGACTTGAGATTTGTTGGCCTTTGACTTGGACTCGACTCGGGACTTGCCTGTCTTGACTCGTGACTTGACTCGGGACTTGAGGGCAATGAATTGAGACTGACTTGTGACTTGCTAAACAATGACTTTGTCCCACCTCTGATATGTACTAAACAAATATCTGCTGGGTTCTGGGTAGAATTTTTGGTACTTATTTTGTAGACCGAATATTATTCTGACGTGCAAAGACCAATCTCACATCCCCTCAAGCCGCTGATCTATGTTTCTTATGCTAATAGTGGTCTGAGCTCCTTCAGTTGGGTTTCTTTGAACATACTTTGGCGTTGGCCTAAGTCGAGCGTTGCCATAGAGACGAGGCGCGATTATTTTATCTGGAATGTCCGTCTGACCTCTGCTGAAGAGAGGATTACACACAGACTTTTAACGAAAATCTTTAGTGCTTTATGGGCCTCACCACAATCGCTATCAGTACTTATTACACAGAGAATGTTAGATACCCCAGCTTTAAGACAGGTTAAGACAGGTTTACTTTTCCGACTAACTTCCTCCAAATGTAGGGAGTTGGGTTGTAATTCCTTGTCCTGTCAGTAGATGTCATTGTATATTTTTGTAACCATAGCCTGTATACAGATGGACAATGCTAACTTGCTAGCTCAGTGAAGTCCAATAAGGAAGTGCTCATAGCTGTTGTAAATTTCTTCTGTGTGAGATTAATAAAGTACATCTTATCTTATGGCTCCGTAACTGTTTGTATCACACTCTCCATTTTAGGCTTTAAAGATTTGTGGTTTAGTGCTCTCTGTGATCCTATTCATATTGTGATGTTATTTTTGTAAAACTGGTTATGACTCATAGACTTTTATAGAAAGTTTTGTTAAGTCCAGCAGGCAGACAAGTTGGAGAAGTTTTAATAGCAGAACTTATTTGCTCGCTTCTTTATTTTCACGCCCAAATAATAAACCAAAATATGTGTCCGTTTTGCAGAAAAAGGTGGTGGAGCAGCTGAGGAAAGAGTTGTTGGTGAAGCAGGAGCCGGAGCCGAAGCTGCAGGTTCAGAGCGGGACCATCACCGCCGAGGTCAAACCTGCCACCATCCTGCAGACGGCCCAGGTCACCGCCGGGATCACACAGGTAGTTTGGACTGATAATACAAAATATTATCATCCATGTTATGCACAATTGACCTTTCAGAGCTTTTATCCACGTTACAACATTGTTCCGTCATCAGTCACAGACCTGGAGTTGTTTTTAGATCCATCCACGCTGATATCAGGAACTTCTGAAACAAGCATGTAACTCCTATAATAGCTCCCTCTATTTCTGCTTTCATGCAATCTTGGAAACTAAAGAGATTTGTTGTTGATCTTGCCGCTTCCCAAAATCCGAGCTGGTGACACATGTGGACATACACGGACACACACAGATTGGAGACGCATATATATATATACACACACGCACACACGCATGCACACACACACTCACTTATATACAAAGCACAAATCTCAGCGTTGAATGTCTGTCTTGAGCAGCCTCCAATTTTCCGAGTCCAACTCCCAATTTCAAAGTGGGAAGTCTGAAGTTCATAATTGTTATTGAGCAGTATTCTACCTTTTTAAAACGGAAGTATTGCCCATAAACTCTCAGATGAAATGACAGTCACATTGCTGTAGTTCAAATTCTGCTCATCCCTCTGGTGGTAGCTCAGGGATACAGCAGGCTCTAGCATTATTTACCCTTTTATACTTGTTTCACAATATATTTTCTACTTTAAGATATTATTTCACATTCTGCAACATGAAATGACATGAAGTAAATGTTCTCATGATAATTTTGAATGGCCAAACACAGTGCTTAATGTTTCTTGTTTGACGTCCCCCTCTTGTCCCTCTGCTGGTGACCCCCCAGACTCTGACGGTGACCCCGGTCCTGACTGCAAAGACTCTACCTCTGGTGCTCAAAGCGGCCACAGCAACGACTCTCACCGGGTCGGTCCTGTCCCAGCGGCCTGCCACTGTCGCCATGGTAACTACAGCTATCACCAAACCGGACACCCCCATCAACCTGCAGGTGGCCAGCAAACTGACCAATCAGAGCGGAGAGCCCGTTCGGCTGCTGACCAAGAACGCCATGGTGGTAAGAGTTGTGGCGTCTCTCCTCTTTGTGAAACTGGCCTTTGATGAAGTTTAGAGCCGACTTCCATGTTTAAACCTAGAACTCCCAAAGCAGTCATTTTGACGGCTTTTAGTTTTGGAGGTGTAAACAACTACTCGGCTTATATATTTTTGTCTTCATAACTTTGTATCTTTTTATGTATCTATATTTAGTTTATTTCTATGTAATTATTTTATGAAATGGTCTTATTTGTTATCTTATTTGAATGCAATATTCAAATTCAAAACTGGACTGAAATGGACTGGTGCTAGACTGGTTCTGATGGGTTTCAGAACCAGTTTTCCACCAGAGAAAAGCAAGTGTTAACTACCATAGCAACACGCCGTTTACTGTCAAACAGTTCAAAGGCCCTCATAAATGATTTATTGTGATTAAAAACTGGTGGAAATAACTTTTCTTTGGTAATTTTTCAGAAATGCATTGATTTGCGTGAGAGCAGTCAAAATGACTACTCTGGGAGTCCTCATGTTAATCTGTAACAGTTCTGCGGTTGGTCTAAGTGGCTGAAGCTGTTTGCGGTTGAATCTGAGTGCCTGAGTCTTAAAAGCGACCTGTGGCTTTGCAGGACGCTTGTGTTATTACCCACAACGAGTGCAGAGTGGTGTAGGTATAGTGTAGATATGGTGTAGTGTAGGTGTAGTGTAGGTGTAGTGTAGGTGTAGTGTAGGTGTAGGTGTAGTGTAGATATGGTGTAGTGTAGGTGTAGTGTAGGTGTAGTGTAGATATGGTGTAGTGTAGGTGTAGTGTAGGTGTAGTGTAGATATGGTGTAGGTGTAGTGTAGGTGTAGGTGTAGTGTAGATATGGTGTAGTGTAGGTGTAGTGTAGGTGTAGTGTAGATATGGTGTAGTGTAGGTGTAGTGTAGATATGGTGTAGTGTAGGTGTAGTGTAGATATGGTGTAGTGTGGCACGGTGGCTGAGTGGATAGCACTCTCGCCTCTCAGCAAGAAGGTCCTGGGTTCGAATCCCGGTCGGACCAGGGCCTTTCTGAGTGGAGTTTGCATGTTCTCCCCGTGTCTGCGTAGGTTTCCTCCGGGTACTCCGGTTTCCCCTACCACTAAAAATATGTCCAATAGTTCTAGCATGCGCCTCCTGTACTGGCGACCGCGCTCCCATCTCTGTGTGGAGTGAGAGACAAATGCCCAAAAAATTAACAATTGTAAACCGCTTTGAGACTCAGATCTGCAGTGAAAAGGCGGTATATAAATAAATACTTACTACTTACTTACTTACTAGTGTAGGTGTAGTGTAGGTGTAGTGTAGGTGTAGTGTAGATATGGTGTAGTGTAGGTGTAGTGTAGATATGGTGTAGTGTAGTGTAGGTGTAGTGTAGATATGGTGTAGGTGTAGTGTAGGTGTAGGTTTAGTGTAGATATGGTGTGGTGTAGTGTAGTGTAGGTGTAGTGTAGGTGTAGTGTAGATATGGTGTAGGTGTAGTGTAGGTGTAGGTGTAGTGTAGATATGGTGAAGTGTAGATATGGTGTAGTGTAGATATGGTGTAGTGTAGGTGTAGTGTAGATATGGTGTAGTGTAGTGTAGGTGTAGTGTAGATATGGTGTAGTGTAGATATGGTGTAGGTGTAGTGTAGGTGTAGGTGTAGTGTAGATATGGTGTAGGTGTAGTGTAGATATGGTGTAGTGTAGGTGTAGTGTAGGTGTAGTGTAGGTGTAGTGTAGATATGGTGTAGTGTAGGTGTAGTGTAGGTGTAGTGTAGATATGGTGTAGTGTAGGTGTAGTGTAGATATGGTGTAGTGTAGGTGTAGTGTAGGTGTAGTGTAGATATGGTGTAGTGTGGATATGGTGTAGTGTAGGTGTAGTGTAGGTGTAGTGTAGATATGGTGTAGGTGTAGTGTAGGTGTAGGTTTAGTGTAGATATGGTGTGGTGTGGTGTAGTGTAGTGTAGGTGTAGTGTAGATATGGTGTAGGTGTAGTGTAGGTGTAGGTGTAGTGTAGTGTAGGTGTAGTGTAGGTGTAGTGTAGGTGTAGTGTAGATATGGTGTAGGTGTAGTGTAGATATGGTGTAGTGTAGTGTAGGTGTAGTGTAGATATGGTGTAGGTGTAGTGTAGGTGTAGGTTTAGTGTAGATATGGTGTGGTGTAGTGTAGTGTAGGTGTAGTGTAGGTGTAGGTGTAGGTGTAGTGTAGATATGGTGTAGTGTAGGTGTAGTGTAGGTGTAGTGTAGATATGGTGTAGTGTAGGTGTAGTGTAGATATGGTGTAGTGTAGGTGTAGTGTAGATATGGTGTAGTGTAGATATGGTGTAGTGTAGGTGTAGTGTAGGTGTAGTGTAGATATGGTGTAGTGTAGTGTAGGTGTAGTGTAGATATGGTGTAGGTGTAGTGTAGGTGTAGGTTTAGTGTAGATATGGTGTGGTGTAGTGTAGTGTAGATATGGTGTAGGTGTAGTGTAGGTGTAGGTGTAGTGTAGATATGGTGTAGTGTAGATATGGTGTAGTGTAGGTGTAGTGTAGATATGGTGTAGTGTAGATATGGTGTAGTGTAGGTGTAGTGTAGGTGTAGTGTAGATATGGTGTAGTGTAGTGTAGGTGTAGTGTAGATATGGTGTAGGTGTAGTGTAGGTGTAGGTTTAGTGTAGATATGGTGTGGTGTAGTGTAGTGTAGGTGTAGTGTAGGTGTAGTAGTGTAGATATGGTGTAGGTGTAGTGTAGGTGTAGGTTTAGTGTAGATATGGTGTGGTGTAGTGTAGTGTAGGTGTAGTGTAGGTGTAGTGTAGATATGGTGTAGGTGTAGTGTAGGTGTAGGTGTAGTGTAGATATGGTGTAGTGTAGATATGGTGTAGTGTAGGTGTAGTGTAGATATGGTGTAGTGTAGGTGTAGTGTAGATATGGTGTAGTGTAGTGTAGGTGTAGTGTAGATATGGTGTAGGTGTAGTGTAGGTGTAGTGTAGATATGGTGTAGTGTAGGTGTAGTGTAGTGTAGGTGTAGTGTAGGTGTAGTGTAGATATGGTGTAGGTGTAGTGTAGGTGTAGGTGTAGTGTAGATATGGTGTAGTGTAGGTGTAGTGTAGATATGGTGTAGTGTAGGTGTAGTGTAGATATGGTGTAGTGTAGGTGTAGTGTAGGTGTAATATAGGTGTTGGTATGCTGTATGTGTAGTATACGTGTAATCTAGGTGTAGTGTAGGTAGATACAGTGTAGGTGTAATGTAGGCATTATGTTGGTGTGGTGTAGGTGGAGTGTAGGTGTAATCTAGGTGTAGGTGTAATGTAGGCATTATGTTGGTGTGGTGTAGGTGGAGTGTAGGTGTAATCTAGGTGTAGGTGTAATGTAGGCATTATGTTGGTGTGGTGTAGGTATGCTGGTGTAGTGTAGGTGTAATACAGACTGGAGACGTGTAGAACATGTTCCATTTCCAGCAGAAGCCTAAAGTATATAACTTCATTTTACTGTTGGTGTAAATTCTCAAGCTCTTTACAACTGATGACGCGCCAAAGTCGATTAGGGGTTACACTAATCTTAACTGAAAGAATCATTTGCACAGGCGGCAGATCCATGCACCTCCACAGCACTAACTGATCGGTCAGCTTGATGTGAGTCTGGTTACTACTGTAGTCTACTGAAGTCTGCAGAGAAGGGGACTGACCGAGTGATGTTACTGCAGTGTTAGCCTAATGCAGAAGAGGCTGATGAGAACATAAGCTATTTGGAGTCGATTTCCTCATATGAGCATTTGTTCTGACGTCGTTAGCCTTGCGGCGTTACAGGGGAGACGGGTTGCCAAGAGGGTTGGTAAGGCAAGATGGAATTTGCCCCACGAATTAAGGTGTCTGAAGACAATATCAAAATATAAACACCAGGATCACAGACGGCGCTAAACCACAGATTTTTACTAAGCTAGAGGAGTTTACTTTTCAATGTACGTCTATGAGCCAGAGCGAGTTGAAGCAAAACGTCGTCCATGAGCACTTCCCTATTGGGCTTCAGTGAGCTAGCGGGTTAGCATTGTCCATCTACGTACAGTCTATGGCGGAGGCCCATTGTGCTGTGGTTTTGTCCAGGTGCAGGCCACCACCACCAACGCGCAGCCAATCAAAGTTCCCCAGTTTGTCCCTCCTCCTAGACTGACGCCTCGACCCACCTATCAGCCACAGGTGCGTCATTTAGCCCCGCCTCCGCCCACCCCCGCCCCTCTGCCCCTGTCTGTGGCCCCACATGAGGTGACTTGCTCACTCTCCGGTCGAGGGCAGGAGTGCTCCAGAAGCAAACACTCATGCCTTGTTTTTTTGCGTGGCACTAAACCGTTGTTGTGTGCTGCCCTCTCTCCTCTCGTTGTGCTTTTATTTCTGGACTGACCTGTGACAGACTCGGCTGAGGTCTGCTGTTTGTGAATGGTTGTAACCAAGTGCACTTGTGATGAGAGCTTGTTTTTTTCCCGCAGCTTTTTTTTTGGTATTTTGTGTTGGCTGTTTGTGTTTTAACCCCTCAATGTGACAAGAACAGTGGTTTTAAAGGGGCTGAGTAATGTCACTGGGAGCTCTGGTCTCTTGGCTTTCTCACTGAGGAAAATATCAAGGCCTGGTCTAGTCTTAAGCACATATTGATATTCTTCAGGTTTTAGGTAACCCACTTTTTACTATCAAGTTAGAACCTCTCCTTAGAGTAGTAGGACCACCAATCAATCAAATACCCTATCAATTGATTAGACGACTAAATGCTTATTTTAAATTCATACCTGACCCAAACAAAAGAACTATCGAAATACTGAAATATTAGAAATTGGGAAAAGTAGTGGCTTATTGTCCAACAAGTACTGTCTTCAGCAGTTGATGTTGTATTTTTAACACAGATTATAATTACAAGAATTTCTCTGTGTACATTAAAAACACAATCTGGTCTACCTAAATAAGGAACCATATTGACAGCCTGAGAAAGCAAATAATGCAGACTGAACATCCTGTTGCATGAGATCCAAATGTTTTTACGTTGTATTTTGTGATGTTTTACTTTCTTTCTAAGCTAAACCGCTAAATCTCTGGAATCTTAAGCACTGGCACCACAGTCTCATTACTCAGCACGGTCCACCAATCTGCTCGCTGCTCTCTGATTGGCTGTTTGTCGTCAGCAGGTCAGGCCCAAACCGGTGGCGCCCACAAACGTCCCGATCGCCCCAGCCCCGCCCCCCATGATGGCGGCCCCCCAGCTGCTCCAGCGGCCCGTGATGCTGGCTACCAAGCTCGCCACCACGTCGCTGCCCTCGGCCACGCCCATCCACCAGGTGCGCATCGTGAACGGCCAGCCCTGCGCCAAGACGGGCTCCACGCCGCTCGCCGGGATCGTGATCACCGCACCCGTGTCTGCCGCCGCCACGCGCCTTGCCAGCCCCGCCCACGCGCCCTCTGCGGTCCCCATGAGCGCGCAGCCCATTCAGATCAGCAGCATCACAGCACAGACCAAGGTATGGCTCACACACAAACGCACGCATGCACACACACATAGCAAAAGATGAACAATAACTCTATACTAGAATTTAACAAAACAATTAAGTATAACATCTCTGACTTTAGCAGAATAAATTCAATGAAATGTATTTTTGTATAGCCCATTTTTGAGGAATTCAAAACCAAACACAAAACAAGTGTACAGTACTTACTAGACTATAAAGTGCGCCTGTGTATAAACCACACTAGATGAATTGGAAAAGAAAGTACATTCAATCTAAATGAATGTATAGAAAGTCCTTTGAACTAATCATTCTCAGTTTCCGTGTAAAGGTGGCTGTCATGTTATTCTAGCGGTTATAAGATGTTGGAGTTTACACGCGAGGAATGGGAATCACGTTGTAAAAAAAGTGGAAAATTACACACAAAAAATCTGTGAATTCATGTGTTTCTGTATAGCCCTAAATCACAACAGCAGTCATCCACGAGGACTTTACAAATTTGTGGATTTGCCTACAACAGATCAGAGAATCAAACCGTTCAAACACAGGAAATGCAATAATAACAAACTCATAGGGAGTGGGTCGACCAATGTCCGTAAATGTTAATAAACTTCCTTAAATGTCTCCGATCACCACTGTCCTTAGACCCTCCTGCATCAACAAAGGAACCACTAAAAAACCCTGTGGGGACCGCGAAAGGTGATCCATGTTATAGTGAGGGGCCGCTGTACACTTTAATTAGCAAAAGGGTGAAAATGCAGTCTGAATCCACTAGATGGCAGCATGCTATTGTATTTCAGTGAAGCGTTCTCAATACAACCATAGATCCTTTGACTTCATATTTAATGTCAAATTATTGCTCTAGTCATAGTAGCTCACAGGGCTCTTTCTCACAAGTATGAAGAGACATGTTTTCTAATGAGATGCAGGCCACAGGGTATGGTCTTAATTTGTTCACAAAATAGTCCATGTACTCCACTTATTTGTCCGTTTTGTGATAATTTTTTTTCGCAGACTGTTAAAGCTGTGAGTGCAGTCGAGCCAAAGGTCATCACTCCTGTTCCGTCCTCCGCGACCCCTCCTCCCACCCCCAGGCCCAGACGAGAGGAGAACCCTGAGGTAGTGAGAACCCTGGCTCTTTTAATGTATTATTATGATTATGATTATGATTATTATTATTAAGCTTTGTTTCGGACAAGGCAAGCTTATTTGTATAGCACAGTTCATACACAATGGGCGACACTGTGGCTGACTGGATAGCAAGTAGACTTTTCTGAGTGGAGTTTGCATGTTCTTGCCGTGTCTGTGTAGGTTTCCTCTGGGTGCTCCGGTTGCCCCTACCACTAAAAACATGCACAATAGGTCTGAATGTAATGAGTGAGTGAATGAATGGTGTTGGTCTCGCTTCTGTCATCACCGTTTGGAGAGAATGAAACAATATCTGAACTTTGAACATTGTAAAGTGCTTTGGGTGACCTTGGTCTGTAAAAATGCGTTATATAAATAAAATTGACTTACTTACTTAATTACAAGGCAACTCAAAGTTCTTAAACAAACGGCTTTTGAGCATTCTCCAAACTTCTGAACCAGCTTTTTGGCATCTCCATGTAGCATTCGGCACTGTGTCTATATCTCTCTGTCATCGGACAAGTCACCAGAGATGTACTGTCCCAGATATTTGTATTCCTCTGTTATGCTCAGGGGTTTACCCGATTGGACGAAGTTAGTAATTAAACTTTAGAGTCCTCCTTGCTCTGGACAAACACAATATTACTCTTGTAAGCTTTATTTTTTTGTCAAACTCATGGCCATACCAAGTGAAAACCTGCAGTGAATGTCTATTCTTCTATTCTGCAGAAACTGGCTTTCATGGTGTCGCTAGGCCTCGTAACACATGACCACTTGGAAGGTAAGTTTTCATTCATTAGTTAATTAGTTGTATTTTCTAGGCTTTAAAGCTGGGGTGCGCAACTTTCAAAACCACCAAAATTGGAACTACGGGGGTTAACAGTTCCTGGCTCTAAAAAAAATCTATCACTAGTTTTTTTACACGCATGTGTGTGTGGCCCATAGACCGTAAAATATTAATGAACGTAGTGACGCCCGTTTCCTACATTGAAATGTATGTGTGAAAAACAAGTGAATGTGTACCTTTTACAAATGGCCGCGAGTAGCCCCTCCCGCAGGAAAATGGTGAAAAACACTTTAGCGCATGTGTTAAATGGCACAAGCCTGACTCATGGCTGAGAAAACATGTTCATTCAAAAGTCCACAGCGGATAAACTCGGCTGGTCCAAAAAATATACTCCCCTCAGCATTGACACGCATCTGGGACTTAGCGTTGAACCAAGAGCCAACTTTTGGACAAGGCTATAAAGAAAAAAGGCGCCATAAGAATTCATTGGATAATTCTGTTTCCGGGTACACCCCCACCAGCAAGGAGTCAGATTACAAGCATGTCACAGCACGTGCTCATGGACCCTTTTGACCCGCCCCGACTGGTTTGGCCTCTGTCACATCTTTAGATCAGAAAAGTAAAAAAGAGAGGACCACCCTTAGCCAATCAGCTCTCAGCCCAAAGACTCAGATAGTGCCTCACACGGCTCTTTCCTACAAGTACGCAAAAGGCAACATGTTTTCTAATGAGACGAAGAAGATGAATTAGATGTAGTGGTCTGATTGGTTCACGTTTTAATTTGACGAGGCCTTCTATTGGGACAAACCACATTTTGTTATTGTGGAGTTATTGAGGGAGAATAAAATTTAGGTACCCCAGCTTTAACGTTTGTCATGAATATGTATTGCAATGCCCAGCGGATTGGAAGTATGCAAATAAATTACTGTGTTTTATTTATTCACAGAAATCCAAAGCAAACGACAAGAGAGGAAGCGACGGACAACAGCCAACCCAGTTTACAGCGGAGCAGTGTTCGAGCCCGAGGTTTGATCCTATCCACTCATATGCCCTACTCTATTCTACTCTGCTCTACTCTACTCTGATCTACTTGGCTCTACTCTACAGAATCTACTCTACTCGGCTAGAATGTACTCTACTCTATTCTACTCTACTCTACTATACTCTACTCGGCCAGAATCTACTTTTCTCTTCTTGGCCAGAATTTCTCTACTCTACTCTACTCTACTCGACTCTACTCTACTCGGCCAGAATTACTCTACTCTACTCTACTCTTCATGATCAAACCCCAGACAGCAGGGGGCTCCACTGTGCAAACAAATGTACAATAATTTTGCTCTACTCTGCTCTAATCTGCTTCAATCTACTTGACTCTACTCGGCTAGAATCTACTCTACTCTATTCTACTCTACTATACTCTACTTGGCCCAACTCTACCCCACTCTACTCTTCTCTACTCCTCATGATCAAACCCCAGGCAGCAGGGGGCTCCACTGTGCAAACATATTTACAATCATATTTAATAAAATTGTCAAAACTAGAGAAAACAATCTCTGCAACACCGGACGCACCGGTGCTTTTCTCCAACATTCTGTGGTTGTGTTTTCACAGAGGAAAAAGAGCGCTGTGAGTTACCTGAACAGTCCTCTGCACCAAGGAACGAGGAAGAGAGGTCTGTATGAGCCACTCGTACCCGCAAGAGTGGACTGTTATTGAAATCAAACATATATGAGGATGATATTACAGACCACACATTGTATTAACAACTACTAGCTCACTAATACAGGAGGTTATTGCATTCACTTCAATAAGAAAAGTTTCTGTATTGGGGGGAGTAGGCGTGAGATAGATCCTGCTTTTGTTAAGATCAACCATTGACGGCTTGAGTTATAACAAGAAAAGATGTACACCAGGCTTGTCCAAACTGAGGACTGTCTTGCTTACACAGAGTCGCCATTGGGGTAAGTTCACAGCGTCATCCAGCCAACCTCAGCTCCACCAATGAGTCATGCTGTACGACGTTGTAAAGTTCAGACCCTTTGAAATCTAGTCAGTAACTTTGTATACATTGTTTGTTTTTGACTGAATTATAATATTCCACATATGGCGCTAATGTAGCAGTGGTGTGACTCACAATGGACATACTGTATAATACCTCATTTTAAATCCCAGAAGTCCAGGCAAATCCAGTCAAAACTGTTTAAAACAATAATTTCCACACTATTGCGCTGCTACTTTTTGCTATACTTTGATCCCTATGGCTTATATAGCAATGCGGCTAATATGTGTTCATTTTTTTTCTCCATTCATTTATTTCAGGCAATTGCACAGATAAGTACGAGGTAGACCATTTGTGGTTAAATTTGGACTGTTTTCAGAGCAGAGTTAATGGATTTTGACTAAGTTTTAGTAGCTATGGGACACTTGCTTATTGTCAAAACAGACGAAGGTGAATGAGTCATGAAAGCTAACGGTTAAGCTGTTAAACACCTTGCCATTAAATCATGTTGTGACTAGTTAAAACAGTCTGTCTGCTACATTACAACATGAAAACCTGTGACTTCTATTGAATGTGGCTTTTATATTATATGCATATGTAAATGAAACTTCTAAAACAAAATCTAAGTCAGGGATGTCCAACCGTTTGAGTAAGAGGGCCACTTATGTTAAACCAGACTTATCCAGGATGTTTAGACTGGATTCAGCCTGTTCTGAAATGTAAAATGAGGTAGGACATGTCCATATTGATTCACGTTTGACAGAGCTGAAGTTGGTTGAATGACAAATATTTACCATTTCAAATTAGCACCATATACATAATTCTGAGACACAATTAAAAGCAAATGGCAGTTTATACAGATGGAATCAACCACTAGATTCTTGAGCTTACAGCAGAAGGACAGCCTGCATATATTGGCAGAACTGAAGTTGGCTGGATGACACTGTGAACTTGTTTTTTTTTTATCTCAAAGACTAATGTGGGTTGGCCTAAGTTTGGACGTGCTGTAAGTGAATGCAATAATCTTCAGTGCATTACCTATGAATACTAATGTCTTTGAAAAGTCTCCCCCTTTTCTGCTTTTCTCTTCTTCCTGCTGCACTAGACACTTATCATCAGCACAACTTTAACAGTTTTCAAAAAAGCTAAAACTTTACTAGAATTTAATCTGGTCTGAAAAACACCTGTGACCTTGTTTTTTTGTGTGTGTTTTTTTAAAGGGAAAGGTTTGGTGATTAGTGGTCGTGTGGCCCAGTCTTTTTATGGTAGATTCAACATTAAAGAAGACGTATTGTGTTTTTCACGGTTATATAAAAAGTCTAAATCATCTGTTTCTAGTTTGACCTTAAATACGCACCCCCGAAAGTCCTGCTTTGTCATTGGCTGTAGCTGGACAATGCTAGTTCAGTGTAGTTCAACTGGGAAGTGCTCATGGCCGAAGATCCTGGTGTTTATATTGTGATATTGTCTTTGTAAACCCAGATATGAGTCATATAAGGATTGACCAATCAGTGTTTTTGCGGGGAAAACTTCAGCTTTCCTTAGCAACCACCATAGCAACACATCCGCCCCTGATCCAACACAAAGCCAACCCCGTCGGAATAAATGGCCATTAAAGGAAATTGGCTAGAGCTAGCTATGTTCAAATTTGCTGCTTCTACCTTAGCACTCGGTCAGTTCTAATATATGGTCCATGATCCCAACAAATATGAACTGGAGGTAGTCATGAGGATTGTGTGTGACGCCGTGGCCTCTCAAATTCAGGGGAAAAACTTGACTTTTCACAATACGTCTTTTTTAACAATTTATAAATTCTAAACAGGAGGAACAGTCCTGTTGTGAGAGCCCACGTTACAGACCTCAGACCTGTTGCTAGAAGTAGGTTTGGTTCTGCTTTGGTGTCAATTCAAGAGTTTAGGTTCAGTCGCGTGTCAGTCGCCGCGGTAACACTCAGTTCAGGTTCAGAGGAGGAGAAACCAGAACCACGCACCTCAATAGCGTTCTGCCCATTCTTGGAGAGTGCGTTCTCTGCGGGATCTGGCAGGGCATCTTCATTTTTATCTTAAAGCTTTGGGAGAGGATTGTCATTCATACTGGTGCAAGATGATGTCGCACTACGTTTTTGTAATTCCTTCGTACTTTGAATGGACCTGAATGGTTGGACATTAACGAATGAATGAAGCCTTTCTTAGTCCCACGGTGGGGAAATCAAAGTTCGATTAATTAACATCATAAAGACATGCAGCGTACTTTTACTTCTGCGCTTCTTTTTCTGAACAGCAGAGCAATCACACTTTTTTCACACAGACATTGTTTGGAGAGACATGCGGAAAACATGCAATTTAAACATAATAAATCATACGGACATAACGCACATAGTTTTCTCCTGGTGCTCCGGTTTCCCCTACCACTAAAATCATGTACAAGAGATCTGAATGTAATTGAGTGAGTGAAGGATGGCAATAATCAGGTGAGTGTTCGGCGTCTCGCTAATGTCATCACCGAAAAAGGTTTCTTCTCCAAAACATTATTAAGTCGCTTTGGGGGACCTTGCGCTATATAAACAAATATGACTTATTTTCTGCACTCGCTTTGGCGGTTGCAACAGTTTTTGTACTTACCAATATATTCTTCACACTTTACCATTATTGTTTTTTTGTTGCTACGGGCAGCGAGTTTCATACATTACAGGAATTAATGTTGGAACCTCGGGATCAGAGACACTGTCGATGTATTTGTGTTTGAGATTATTGCCTTTCCGGAGTTTGAACTGTTTGATTCTCTGATCTGTTGTTGAGGAATCTACAAGTCCTCCGAGATACTGTTAGGGTTGCTGCTGTTGTGGTTTAGGGCTTTACCAAATAAGTATGTTGGATTGCATTGAAATTGAATTGTTGACAGACAGCTTCAAGCACTGGGTTTATACGATGGTACCCGGGTTGGATTTCAAGATTTAAGATTCAAGATTAATTTAGTGTGACCTGGAGGAAATTTGTCTTACAGGCTGCTTCATTGAAAATACACATAGACAGACATAGAACAGAATACATTTTTCTGTGCTTTTCCGCTTCTTATCCGACCTGTGAGTTTACCAATGCCGCTTCTAGTAACAGGCCTCTGAGGTGTACTTGATGTAAATACTGAAGCTCACAGGTGTTTTCGGCCCCGCCCCTCATGTCCGTCATGGCTCACATTGTAGCCTCCTGCTGTAGTCTCTGCGCTGGGCTCGGCCTGAGGCGCAGTCCGCTGCACTAACACTCTATCTGTGCTTCTGACCCTCTGTCGCTCCTGCTGCTCCCCGCCCCATAGCCAACGAAGACTCCCTTTCCAAGGTATGTCCGATTGTTTACGGTTGTGCTCTCCCCCCTCTCCATCTTTTTCTTTTTTTTTCTGTTTTTTCGTCTTTTGTCGTCTGTCATTTCACCCAGGTCGTCCACCCAAATACAGCAGCATCCCGGAGCGGGGCAGTCTCACCCCGACCTCCCCCTCCAGCCCTGTCCGCCCCCTCCCTCTGCCCAGCCCGAGCTCTGCGGATGTAAGTACCGCTGAGGGAGAGGACCGCACAAAGAGGCCCACGGCTCACTGTCCCCTCGTCCACACCATCATCACCCACATACTGTATGCACTCATCGCTATGTTGTCTCCATGACGATCATACCATCACCTGCTTTTACTTCGAATACAGCCTTACAAAGTGAACAGCCTCCTGACCATAGGGTAGCACCACGCACACATACGCACACGCCCCATGAAGCCCGAGCCCATGAACCAGTTGTGGGATTAGTTGAGGCAGATTTCAAATGAACCCAATTTTTCTCACTGACATGCACAGGACGTACCAAAACCTAGTGTAACTCTGAGGAGCTATCTGTTCTTAACACTAAACAGTCATGTAAAATGTCCATTTAAAACCACTCTTTTTAATACTTTCAATGAGCACCTAACCCCAAAAATTAACAAGTAATGTAACACACCATGCCATTAAACAGAGGACAAACGTAGGTCAACGCAGTCCCGTGGTCGCTGCTCCGCCCCCGGCCTCCTATGGTCCGGGGCGGGCGGCTGTGGCTGACACTGATGGTCCCTTCCTTCTCGCAGGGAGACATCCATGAGGACTTCTGTACTGTGTGTAGACGCAGTGGACAGTTGCTCATGTGCGACACATGCTCTCGTGTTTATCACCTCGACTGCCTGGATCCACCTTTGAAAACCATTCCTAAAGGCATGTGGATCTGTCCAAAATGCCAAGACCAGGTAAATGACAAGCTGCGGAAGCCCCCCTTTACGCCCAGCAGTCTGGTCTGGTTCAGTTGGATCTGGATGCTTCTACGATACAGGTGTACGCCGAAGACTTTGGGTGTCTTTCGCCCTGTTTCCACCAGCCCGACTTGGCCCTACTCTACTCGGCTCTTTTCTACCTGGTTACCATTACGCTTTAGTATCTGGTACCGAAGCCTAGCAACCTGTCCACAACACAATAGTATATGGGGGAAGTTTCTCCTCTGGCCAATCACTGAAGTTAGAACAAATTAGTACCAGCTCAGGGACTAAAGAAGGACCTGGTACCAATCAAACGGGGCCGGCTGAAACGCTTCCAATTGGGAAAATACCGTGGGTTGTGCAAGACTAGGCTAGACTAGGCTAGGATAGGGTTGGGTAGGGTAGGGTATAGTAAGGTAGAGTGGAGCCATGTATGGCTGGTGGAAACAGGGATTTTGTGAGATCAGCTGAAAATATGGGATTCAAAACATACAAAAATGAAATAAATATAATTACATTTACTTCAGAGCCGTCGATTCACAGACACAAAGAAAGAAGTTATGAGAGAAATTCCCCCTTATCGTTACTTTTAATATCATAATTGTTGGTGGTTAATACATTATATACAGTACTTGCTGAACTAAACAAGCCTCTACGCTTTGCTTGTTCATCTAACTCTGTGGCCTATATAGAGACCATATAGAGCGCCCCCTGGGGTGAAGAAAGATTTGGGCACAGCTCTATCAGCTGTTGATCTCCCGAGCTGATGACGAAGCATTACATTCCTGCTTCCTGGTGTGTTTATGTGAACGGCAGAGAAGTGTAGGGAAATATACAGGACTTTTTCAATGTGATTAAAGGTCCTATATCACGCTTTTCTTCATGTTTCACACTCAATCCTATACACATGTGTGATATTAATGTGTATGATACACCACACAACAATCAAAGCTTGTGAGATTAGAGCCATCTCTTGTATAGAGGTGACGTCACCTCGACTCAAACAAGCTGATCCAGAGTCTGCTCCTCTGCCTGTGAGCCCGCCTCCCCCCGCCCGCACGCTGACGTAGCATCACGCTTTTGTCGTTTATCACCTGTACTTAGTAATTTCATACATAAGAATAAACTTTTTCCAACAATGACAATCCGTCACATCGAGCCCTATGTCCTCGATGCACAATCAGACCCTAGTTATTTAGTTTACAGAAGTATACAGCGAGTTAGCGTCACTACTTACAGATCGAGGGGGTCCGAGTTACGTCTTTACCGTGGGAATAACGTGTTTCCAGATCAGCCTTTGAGTAAGTCCAGTTCCATTGTCCCTGTAGTTCTGGAACAGTCTCAGTGAAGTGTCGCAGATGAACCGGTATTATAATAGATCCATGAGATGAACAGATGAAAAAAGTCGAGCCGCTTTCTTCCTCTTAGGGCCAAATAGTGTGTCACATATTTACACCCATAACACACTTCATTCAAGTTGACGTGATCCTAACACTTTTAGTCGCTGACAAAAGCATAAAAACAGCAGCTCTATGTGGTGTCCGCGAGACCAGACCACAGACGCTGGACTCGGGAGCCGGAGCCTGTGCGCTCTGATTCGCTGTTTTGATCCGTCAATCACCTCCCGCCGGCTTTTAATTTATTTTTATTTTTATTATTTTTGACAAAAAACAGCATACTAATTGTGTATTGTTTACCCCGTTTTGACAAAAGTATTTAACAACTATTTTAAATACAAAGCAAACGGGGTCATGCGCGTCATCAGTGTGGTTTTCGTCACTGAAGTGGACCCGAGCGTTTCTGTGCCTCACGCTGGGGAAGGAGACAGATTGTTCTCTTACAAAAGATTGACAGAATCAATGAATAAACTACTGTGGGCTTGTGTATGAAGGCCAAATAGCATTGTAATCATGTTTAAAGCAGAGAAAAGTCAAAAACCGTGATATGGGCCCTTTAAGGCTCAGTCGTCAGAACAGAGTTTATGAACTTATGTTTTAGTAGGAATGACACATGTTTATTGTCAGAATAGACATATTTACCAGAGTGCTTTGATCATCATGTTTTGTTCAGTTAAAATAGCTCGCGGCTTATATTCAAATGCGACCTATATGCGGACCAAATTAACTGTCTTTCCTAATGTAGCTAGTGTGATTTATGTACAGGTGCGCTTAATAGTCCAGCAAGTACTGTACATTTGACATGAGTTTTGTCTGCCTTCCTTTTGGAGCACATTTCTCAAATTCTAAAGTGTCATACTTTCACACTAGACGAGCAACCAGTGGCGTGCTGTGCCGAACTGAACCATACTGGACTGCTCGGTGTCTCGGAGGGATCTTGTACTGACATTTTTGTGCCTTTCCCATGGCATTCTTGACAAGAGTAGAGAAGGCATGTTTTTCGAGGAGTCAAACACTGTAGGACTGTTCTATTCTTTGTAAGCAGATACACGGTGTTTTTAGTTGTGCTTATGTCTCATTCACTGTAATTATCGGCACCTCATGTTCATCCACGTCATTCTTTTTTTGGCCCGCACCTCTCGGCAGGGCTTTGATACTTCACAAAAACATGTCCGAGGTCTTGCAGCTTGTGGCATTGACCAGTTTTTTTTACAGATTTTGAAAAAAGAAGAAGCCATTCCCTGGCCCGGTACGCTGGCCATCGTGCATTCGTACATCGCGTACAAAGAAGGTGATTTCAACCGCTCTGTTAAAAAAGAGCAGCTGTTTTTTGTGTGTGTTCCTGGAGCGTAAAAAAAAGGAAATGTTGTGACGTTTTGTGTCGTAGCTAAAGAAGAAGAGAAGCAGAAGTTGATGAAGTGGAGCTCAGAACTAAAACTGGAGCGAGAACAACTGGAACAAAAAGTCAAACAACTCAGCAACTCTATAACAGTAAGAGAATCCAGCAGCACGAAAACACAAAGGTTTTTTTATATGTTGGTTCAGAATATAGGATGGGTTGCCGTTCATGTGACATCACAACATTCCAAAGAGCCTATAGTTTCACATTGTGATGGAGCGCAGCTGAAAAAAATGGTCTTGGTCACTGTGGTAAGTGTTGAAAGTCAGATTCTTGTCTTAGTTTAGAGCTAATTTCTCTGTATTTCCTGGAACAATCCACATTAAACAATAACCGTCTCAAAGGACAAAGTTCTACATCTATGCTCTCTACGGTCTCTGGTCTCTCTCTGCTTTTTCTCTGCTTTCTCTATGACCTCTCTATGGTCTCTCTGTTTTTTCTCTGGTCTCTGTCAGGGTCTCTATCTGGTCTCTATCTGGTCTCTCTCTATGGTCTGGTCTCTCTCTGCTCTTTCTCTGCTCTCTCTATGACCTCTCTATGGTCTCTCTCTGGTCTCTCTCTTGTCTCTCTGGTCTCTGTCAGTGTCTCTATCTGGTCTTTATCTGGTCTCTCTCTGGTCTCTCTCTGGTCTCTCTCTGGTCTCTCTCTGGTCTCTCTCTGGTCTCTCTCTGGTCTCTCCCTGGTCTCTCCCTGGTCTCTCTCTATGGTCTGGTCTTTCTCTGCTCTCTTTATGGTCTCTCAATGGTCTCTGTTTTCTCTCTGGTCTCTGTCAGGGTCTCTATCTGGTCTCTCCCTGGTCTCTCTCTATGGTCTGGGCTCTCTACGGTCTCTGGTCCCTCTCTGCTCTTTCTCTGCTTTCTCTATGACCTTTCTCTCTGGTCTCTCCCTGTTTCCTCTCCTATGATATGATAAGATAAGATAAGATAAACTTTATTGATCTCACAATGAAGAAATGTACCTGTCACATTTGGCATAGACAGAATCACTCAGATTGTGCAAAAGACATGACGTGTGCAAACATGTTAAAGGTTAAAAAGGATTAAAAAAAATAGTCCGTGCAGGATATATTATGTACAATAAAAGTGCAGGTCGTTATGGTCTCTCTCTTTTTGAAAATCTTTGAGCAGCTTTGAAGCAGAGCAAAATATTGTGTTGATTGAAATCGTATAGTAACATGCTGCTTTTGTTCTTCCGCAGAAATGCATGGAGACCAAAAACGGCATCTTGGCTCGACAGAAAGACATGCAGCATTCCTTGGACAAAGTCAAACACTTGATCCGCCTCATACAAGCCTTTAACTTGAGCAAGGCGCAGAAAGAGGCCAAAGAGAGCCTTCCTAAGACCAATGACAGTCTAGTAGTCCCCGCATTCCCGGCTCCACCTAAGCCCAAAGTCATCCAGAACTCTGCGGCGCCTGCCCCCCCTCCCCCCACAGACTCCAGCGTTAGCAACAGTCAAGAGAAACACAACGTCACGTCCAACAGCGTGCCCGAGGTGGTCACGGCGGTCAGGGACGTCACAGAGGTCACGGAGGAGAAGCCTAGCAGCGTCCCGTCTGCGAATATTGTTGGACAGGAGGCCGAGATAGACACGCCGCCCGTAGCAGACACACAGGCTCTGACGGGGGACGACACCACGCCCACGGAACCCACCGCCATCACCACCAACGGGACGTCCGAGCCTGCCTGCCCGAGCACCAACGCCAACAGCCCGTCCTCCGAGACCAAGATGGCCACCGCGGTCATCTCCGCAGACGCCACCGACTCCCAAGAGGCTCCTCCCAACAACAACAACAACAACAACAGCAAAACCTCAGCACCCTCCCAGCACTGCTTGCCGGCGCTCGTCAACAGTTCGGACACTGACAAGTAACATCCGACGGAAGCTGATTGGGATTCCAAAACGTATATTTAAAAAAAGAAAAAAAGATTAAGACATTTGCTTGCGCCGACCGGTGCCCTGAAGTTGCCAATCTGTATAAATGTTGTTTGTTTGCATCGTATTGTCAGACTGTGTCAATGGTAGATAATATTAACAGCCCAGGTCACGTGACTCTAGGGCGATGCAGGCTCCGCCCACTGAGTGTCGTCATGCCAACTTGTCGATTAGACGTCGAGCGGTGGGAGTGGGGAACTTTTTGCTTAAAGAGGAGTTGATCCAACCAGTGTGTGCCTGTCTAGTGGCCCTTGTGTTCACTGTCGGGACTATGAGCAGCATGCTTATGTAATGGACGTATTGGACCAAACTGGACTCACCTGGGCCAGTGTGTGCTACTGCAGGGAACAAAAACAAGAACAAACTTCTTAACCAGGCAGAACACATTCTCTATCTGCTTCCTTATCACTAGGAATCCCAGAATTCTAAAACTACTTGAAGTCCCAGAGCCGCCATTTTGACTGCTCCCGTTCAAACCAATAGAATTCAATGAGAAATTCCCCCAAAATTTTTTTAATTAATCACCAGATCCATTCATAAGGTTATTCCCTTTTCTCACTTGTGATATGTGATAAAACTGGCCACCTTAGATGAAATACAGGGGGAAAAAAATGCTAATGCTAAGTTCTGAAAGTAAACGGTGTGTTGCTATGGTAACTAGCACTTGATATGGAAAATTAGTTAAAGGTAGAACAAAAAATAATGTCATAGTAATAAACTATGTCAAGATACAGAAAAAGTTACGAAGACCAAGAATGCACAGGAGATGAGTAATTGCACTTCCAAAACGAAAAGCCGTCATAGTCCGCTCTGGGACAGTTCTAGTGTTAAGAATCGCAGGTAACGGTAACATTGTTCCCATCAAAATCTTGCTAGCCAGACTCGAGTCCAGTCCAGTTTGGTCGGATGATACCGCTCCATGACATGCGACGTCTGCGGAGGAGGCTCACGGGTCGAAAAGCAGTGTAGTGACAGAGTACGCCCGCTCGAATCAAATCGCCTGTTCGTCCCCGTCGTCCAAAAAACGAGACACGTTTCTATGACTCATTCTCGGAATCCTCCAAAACGAAAATGCCATAAACTTGAGGAAACGAAAACAAAAAGTGAACTATGTGTTGTGCTATGAAATCATACCATGTGCAAATTTAAGTTGATACACAGGGGTATCAAATGGCCGGTGTGGCTGCAGGTTTTCATTCCAACCAAGCAGGAGCACACAAGACTCCACCCATTTCCTCAAGTGAGTCCAGTTTTAACTTGGAGACCTGAGGAATTGGTTCAAGTCTGGGGTGCTCCTGCTTGGTTGGAACGAAAACCTGCAGCCACACTGGCCCTTTCTGCCACCAGTTTGACATCCCTGTAAGCTAGCACATAATTGGGCTAATTTGGTCTCTCTCTGTGGTCTGTCTCTGGTTTCCCTCTGGTCTCTTTGATGTCTCATTCTTGTCTCTCTCTGGTTTCTTTCTACTCTCTCTCTCTGCTCTCTCTGAGGTCTCTCTCTCTACTTTCTGTCTGCTCTCTCTCTCTTTTCTCTCTCTGGTTTCTTTCTGCTCTCTCTGAGGTCTCTCTTGTTTCTCTCTGGTTTCTTTCTGCTCTCTCTTTGGTCTTTCTCTGGTTCCCTCTCAATTACCTCTGGTCTCTCTGATTTCTTTCTGCTCTCTCTGAGGTCTCTCTCATTCTGTCTCGCTCTGGTTTCCCTCTGATCTCTCTCTGTTCTCTCTTAGATCTCTCTCTCTTGTCTCTCTCTGGTTTCTTTCTGCTCTCTCTCTCTGCTTTCTCTGGTTATCTCTGGTTATCTCTGGTCTCTCTCTGGCCTCTCTCAGGTCTCTCCCTGGTCTCTCCCTGGTCTCTCTCTGGTCTCTCTCTGGTCTCTCCCTGGCCTCTCCCTGGCCTCTCTCTGGTCTCTCTCTGGTCTCTCTCTGGTCTCTCTCTGGTTTCTCTCTGGTCTCTCTCTGGTTTCTCCCTGCTCTCTCTCGGGTGTCTCCCTGGTCTCTGCCTGGTCTCTCTCTGTTCTCTCTCTGTTCTCTCCCTGGTCTCTCTCTGGTCTCTCTCTGGTCTCTCTCTGGTCTCTCTCTGGTCTCTCTCTGGTCTCTCTCTGGTCTCTCTCTGGTCTCTGTTCTAGCACACAATCGGGCTAATTTGACTGGAATATATCTCGAGGCTCGTTGACCTCTGGGAAGCTCTGGTGGTCGCGGGACGGGGCGAACAGGCCGTTGTAGCCGGTCAGATTTTGTCGTCGGTGTCAAAAAGTAAAAGTGTAGTGAGTTTCATTTGTGAGTCCAGTGTGTCGACTGTGAGCACTAAATGTGAAGTTGCAATATCGCAAAAGTCCAACAAACAAACAAACATACAACACCACCACGCTACTACAACACTACAACACTACAACACGATACTATCTGGGCTGTGTTTCTTTTTTATAGGGGAAAAAACAACATTATTCAGGTCTTCCTAGTCTTCAGAAACAAGTGCTTTTTTCCGTTACAAAATCTGCTGGACGAACGATGTGGTGTGAACTTTGTGTATATTTAGGTTTAGACAAAAAAAAATCAAGATGACCTGAACTGCCAAAATAGCCCCGTTTCCACCAGCCCTGCTCGGCTCAACTCTACGCTACTTGGCTCTACTCTACTCTGCTCAGCTCTACTATACTCTGCTTAACTCTACTTGGCTCTACTCTACTCTACTCTGCTCTACTCTGCTCTGCTCTACTCTACTCTACTCTACTCTACTCTACTCTACTCTACTCTACTCTACTCTACTCTGCTTATCTCTACTAGGCTCTGCTCTATTCTGCTCGACACTTCTCAGCTCTGCTATACTCTACTGTGTTCTACTTGGCTCTACTCTACGCTACTTGGCTCTATTCTACTCTGCTCAGCTCTACTTGGCTCTGCTCTACTCTATTCTGCTCTACTTGGCTCAACTCAGATCTACAGATCTACTCGGCTGTACTCTACTCTACTCAGCTCTACTCTATTCTACCCAGCTCTACTAGACTCTGCTTAACGCTACTTGGCTCCACTCTTCTCTACTTGATTCTACTCTACTCTACCCTACCCTGATTGGGAGCGTTTCCACCTGCCCTTGTTCAACCACTACCAGGTCCTTCTGTAGTCCCTCTTGGCCCTGGTTCTACCCAGGCCTAGCTGGTCTTCTAACTGACCGCGATTTGGCCAGAGCTGCAACCGGTTTGTTTCCGGGTCGGTTGCTAGGATACGGACCACACACTGAAACGTAATGGAAACGCAACCGAGTAGAGCAGAGTAGGGACGTGTTGTAGGGCTGGTGGCAACGGGGCTAAATGATGACCCACTTTCAGCAGGGATAACGTCCGCTTACTGTAGTAGTGAGAGATCAAAATATCATCGGCGTCTTGTAGATAGAAGGATGTTTCCGGGCTGACACAGGAGAGACAATAACTATTTTAAGGGTCGTTGTTTCGTCCTTAAAACAGCGGGATTGGACGTATGGACTATCGATACGCCAATGTCGTGACTAAAGCACAAGCTAGCTGCATTTGAGTGCTGAGGCGCTTTTGTATGTTATAACATGGATTTAAGCAGAGCATCTGTTTGTCGTGGTGTGACTTATCCCCACATACACGTTTTCTAGGTGGAAACCCCAAATTTCTTTCTAACTAAAGGAAAAAAAAGAAAGAAAACCAAGACCTTTTTCTTTCTTTCTCTTTTCATGTTCTCCGAGGAGCATGGCGAGGCTGGGATGGGATGCTGTTTTTAAAAAGTGGTGACGGTTATCAGCCACTTGTTATAAGTTTAGGGCATTAGGTTAACACAACTCTGGTCTGTCCATTAACGGTGCCTCCGATCGTGCTTTGAATTTGACTTTTTTTGCAATAGAAAGCAATTCCATTCGTTTCCATTTGTCGCTTTTGGAAATGGCGCCGTATTTTTGTGGGTTGTGAGAAAAGCGGGGACATTAAATAGATGCATATACAGTATTTAGGCTCTTAAATGACACTAATTGCCTTTTTAAAAATAGTTTTCTCTTAAGACTTTGTTATTGTAGACTCTCTCTTTGTTGATGGATTTATTATTTGCTGTAGCTTATCAATTGCATCAGTATGTATTTACAGTAATTGCCGGACTATAAGCCGCCATTTTTTTCTACTTTAAACCCAGTGTTCTGTATTGAAATGCGGCTAATCTGTGTATTTTTATTGCGATAGAGCTGGGGTGTCAAACCAGTCCTCAAACGGCCGGTGCGGCTGCTGGATTTCATTCCAACCAAGAATGAGCACACCAGACTCCACCCATTTCCTCGAGTGAGTTCAGTCTTAACCTGTATACGTGGGTGGAGTGGGGAGTGCTCCTGCTTGGTTGGAATGAAAACCTGCAGCCACACCGGTCCTTTCTTGCGCCGGTTTGACGCTCCTGTGGTAGAGTATCTTATAGGCACAGAATATAATTTGGACACTGCTCTATCAGCTGTTTGTTTATGTGAACAGCAGAGACACAAGAAGATTCAGGACTAATACACAGATTTCACTTAGAAAGCTTTGACCACCACAACACTTATTATTAAGTGGTAAAACAGTTGATATCGGCTTTGTTTTCATCAGCTGTTGGTTAAGTGTTACATCACAACATGAAAACCTGTGGCTTATATACCGGTGCAGCCTATATGTGGACAAAAAGGGCTTTCGATTATAATGTAGCTTAATAATCCAGCAAGTACTGTAAATACAATAAAAGTATTTGTAACGTAGCTTAAAACTAAGTAGAAATCTATGTGACTTCGCTGGCCTTATAAACAAGTATTTTTCTAAACAAATTCTCATTAACCCAGCTTTTCTGTCAACCCACAAATTTTACACCGGCGCCTGAACTTCCAAAGCACAAACTCGACATGATTAATTCAAAGTGCGTTCACTGTAGAAAACATTTGTACAATTTTAAATATGTAGATGTAGAAAA